CGCACAGAATTTGTTATTGATATATTTCAAACAACTATGAAGAAAAAAATGTATAATTTGATCTAAAAAAGGATTATCTCAGAAAATATGGAAGATCTCATCAAATATCTTAAAAAGTATGCAGTGACTGACTGGTTGAGGACAGCGTCAAGCAATCGTGAATCAATCTACTCGTACTATACGCTTTTATATTGATGTTGAAGCAATCAATACACGAGAGAAAGAAAGTGTGCATGTAAAATAAGGCATGCAAGAAGGTCCGCCACATCTGGTAGAGCAATCAAGGCGAGGAGGAGAGGACAGTACGAGAAGCTCCTACTGTTATATCGGCTCGAGGTCCTGATGAAGCGCCTGACCACGCCCGAGACTTGCCTTGCTTCTCTCACTTCTTTGTGTCCATCTCCCTCGCCACCAGCAATGCCACTACATGTAAGACCTTACACGCCTCCCCCACTTCGAGACACGCCCTGCGCTCCTCCAGACCCAAACACACAAAAGCACCGCAAACTTCAAGCAACGAACTTCTTCGGGCTTCATAATTTCACGGCTAAAGTTTCCCGGTAAAAAAATGGAAAAGCTCCTTCTTTAAATAATTCACATGTTTAGCGAGCTTAGTGCGATGCAAAGTAAGGAGTTACTCCTATAAAAGCTCAAGAGAGCTCAAGGAGGGGACTTCTCACTCGAGTGTTCCGTAAGTAGAACGTAAGACAAAGAACTCAAATGAAGCTTCCACTTTAGTCATTCGCTGGAGTTCGGGTGAGAGCACGAGACGATAGCAGCACAAAAGAATCAAGAGTGAAAAGTGTTGGCATAATTTTATTCTCCGTTCTAGCAGAAGAAAGGCGAAGATTTTATGAAAAAAAAAAATAGAATTCCAGAGAGAAAAAAAAATTAGCACAATATTCTCGTTCAAACTTACACCGAAAAGTGGCGAGCATATATTAGTTAAAATCGGTCTTCAACGAACTAATTTCTATCACAATTATCGCATTACAAATTTTCTATAGCAATTATTTTGTCTCAGAAAATTCTCTTTATTTAGCTTGCATGTGAAAGCTCGGCAAGAAACAACAAAACGACAGCAGCAGGAACAGCAACATCACAACAACAGGATCAACAGTACGGAAAGAGACCAGTGGAGGCAATGGGCATCATAAAATACGAAGCCAGACTTGACTTCTACAGCTGGCTGGGCAAGCCCCACAGACCACCTCTCTATTTGCAACCAATGGAGTGGAACTAACCAACGGTGCAGGTCTCATTGTGATCAAAGAACTGCGTAAGCCACTAAAACTTCGAAACAATAGTGCTTCCGAACCCGCACAACAGTTACTAATAAATGCTTCCTGGCGAGGTGGGCATGGGCTCCTAAACCCTTCGCAAAAATGTTACAAGCACCTAAAATGCATTGGTTGCTATTCCAAAGTTAAGAAGAATGTAATAATGAGGATAAATTCTATACATCTCCAATAACAGGAAAGGAGCGATTACTATTTAGTACCGCTACACTAAGCGATGCTGTGAGGATAAATGTGTTCGTTGAGTAGCCAGTTTATTCAAAGACGACGGCATTACGAGCTCAGAAATAGAGCAGTGTTTACCCTTTCTCGAAAACAATACAAACAGAATTTTACATCTCATTATCCAAGCAGTAACGCTAAGAAATCATACTCTACTTTGTAAGTCCATAACCGATTACAGGAAGTCAACAGAATGATGCAATAGTCGATGTTTTAATGTCCCTGGTGAATTTACATCATTTTAAATACGGAATGAAAAATCGAACTTCTTATTACTCAAGTCAACACGCAACAGGTGTGTGTTTCGAACAGAGAAAAATTGAAGAGTTGTGAATCGTGTTGAAATTCGAAGCGAAAAAATTGATTTGTAAATAAATTCCGATATAAATAAAGTGGTTCATGGTTAAGGACTTCCAAAAACGAAACAAAGGAGCATATACGCGCGATGGTGCGACGAGCAATGATGCAGTATCCATTAGCCGCAGATAATTGGCGGATGCTGTCTCTGTATGAGAGCAAAGCCTCGGAGATTACATGAGCAAACCGGGGCCTGAACTTCCGCACCTGCGCCCCGGTGACACGCAACAACTCTCGCAAGCGTGTGATATTTATGATGCTTCTCTACGCGAATAACAAATGATGTAGGTGTCAAAGCGACAGTCCCTCATATCTTCCAGACGGGTGCTGCCAGGCAACCTTCACGAAATACGATCTTGAACCGAAACTTCTTGAACCGAACCGAAACGTGGCCGAAATGAATCAAGAAGCAACGCTGAAATAGTAGGTTACTTTTGCAATTTGGAAATCGTTTATTGATTGCAACTTTTCATTTCACACAGCAATAACAGAAGCATAATCGGAAGATAAAAACGACATCCTTAAATCCCAAATTGCAGGCGCTAGCGTGAAAAAACCCAAAGCTAATTGGTTCTGCTACTATGATTGCTCATTTGATGAACTGAAGTCGCCAACTAAACCCGTTTGTTTTCGCTGAACAGCCCGGTGTTTTATTTGGAAGTCTATAAGTAGTCTCTTCAATTGTTAAAAAATTTGCCAACGGCTAATAAGCGTTGCGCTATTTGTCTCAAAATTTCAATTAAATTAACGTAACGTTAAATGCGAAGGATTATTGCTTCGGGATGTGTAATTATTCTAGTTTTGATTGAGCGTTCAAATATAAATATTCTTGTTAAGTAATAATGCGACTTTATATGGAAAGAAGTAAACGAGTTTGGCGCACGTACGATTACACATACGATCACGTTAGACCGGTGCAAAAATTCCTACATAAATGACGAGTGCCACTAAAAACGCTACCAGCAACCCTAAACAGTTCATGAATGATCACGAGATAAAAAAAAGTGAATTACTGTTCAAAGCCGTGAATATCAATTGATATTAAAGGAATGAGTACATGCAATTACTATGTATATGACGGTGAAAGACAAAAATTTTTATTTCGTTAGCCTACGCTATTAAGTAAATCGTCAAAGATGGTTAATATCGATAACATTTAAAAGATCATAAAATACAATTATACGAAAAATAATCAGCAATATAACAGGACAATACGCAAGCGCATCAATAGCATTAAAGCTTTTATGAAAAATTTCATAAATTTCAAGGCATTATTCGAATAAATTTGGGACTCGTTGGAACTTAAAAGCCCCGTTGATGGCAGACATGAAGAGGCGTGAAATGAGGGAGCACTGGCAGCAATATATCTTTGGGTTGCGGTCGTCCAGAAAGGGCAGTGCCATCGTTAGCCTTTCAAGTTGCACAAAAGCGCATAGCGCATCATAAACACAACACAAAGGTACACCAGTGCCCCCTCATTGCATAACGACTCAACACAAGTAATAAAATAGGCCTTTGTCATCGTTGCTACAACAGAAGGACGTCTGCAAAAGCTGGCGTTTTCTTCTCCGCTTTTCGTTTCTTCGGGGAAAATACCCAGTGTTGTGCGTGACAACTGGTAATAGAACTCACTATCCCAGACTGAAATACAGAGCCCGTATTCACAAACCAAGTAATTTGCAGCCACTTGAATGGCTCTGCGCTTACTCAGACTAAGTAATATACCGCGCAATAAGCCGAGCTCCAAAAGAACCATCACCATTATGAACTCAGGTGTTTATGCGAAATTAGAACCTCCCTCTCAAATTGTAGAAATTGATGGAAAATTATGAGAGTTCTTAAGCTCAAAATTTATGAAGGGACTGCACTGGTTCTCTTTTCAACTCGGTCTCCCTTTATAAAGACGACTTCACAAGGCATATTTTGTATAGAACTCCAAATCAACACATGAAAATAATAGAAACAATGATGCAGTCCAGGAATGAGCTGAGATTTTTTCGGCATATTAATTCATCATGCTATTTTCTAAAGAGAAAACGCACAACAGAAGCCATTGACTCGCAAAATGAGGAAGAAAGTGAAAGCTCGCGAAGGTGCAGGACTTGCACCACCTTGCTTGACTTCAGTTCGTGAAGGGAAATTTTAGGAAGCCACCACAACTACGAATTTGCCGCAGCAAATGCATGCAAGTGTATACAGTAATCGAGAGCTACGTTCCCATGCCGCAAAACCGACCATCAAGTCGAGCGGTGTGTTACCAGGGAAAGTTCTCTCGGATAAACAAGAGAGAAAACGACAGTGAGTACGCTCAGCATCTCAATGTTGTAAATGTTCATAAGCATAGCACTTATTAGATAAGAATGCCCTAGAATTACCAGAAAACACGTCGACGTGATAGCCAACGTCGAATTTCAGATGAAATTAAATTTAAAAAAAAATAACACGTGTAGCTAGAAAACGTGTAACATCGAAATTTTCAACTGAGCAAGAAATCCATTAGAACGAAGTGCTGTAAACTATTACCTCCAGGTAAAGGTCTTGTTATTAAAAAGGCGGGTGGGGGAGACTTAAAGTTCGATCTGTAGATCCATGGGACAAACACATGCCGAAGAGTTAGTAGGAAATACTGCGCTTTGGTCTAGGTTTATTATGGAAGGTTGCCCAACTTTAATTGTAGAAAGTTGAGAAATTTTTCCGAGCCTCAGTGTAAGTTTCGCGGAGGGGCTAGAGCACGAGAAGATGAAGAAGGTTGACGCTTTGTATTGCGCCGGATTATTGGAAAAATCTCTAAAGAAAATAACTAAACTTTAATACAACAGATTGAAAAGCGAATTCCCAAACAAAATGTGGGCTTATGAGAGGAGTTATATTCACACGCCAATATCCAGACACAGGAAAGAGCAATACCCTACTTAGGTGGCTGATTATATCTATGCAGAACTACACAGGGAGAAAATATCGCATGCAGCGAACTGAAGTAAATAAAATCTCTGCCGGGAATCGGGAATATTTCTTCTTAAAGTTGAAGCGACTTACTTTCACTCACCTTGCACCGGCCGCGCGTCAGCACGAGTGTACGAAGCACATAATAATATGATCATGTTACTCACCGGTCCATGACTCTCACTTATCCATAATTCCTGTGACGCTCACCTGTGAACAAAAGACAAACAATGGTTACACAAGATGTAATTTGAATACCAAGCGGCACTAGTAATAACATAACAGTGTTTATATTAGTTGGGGATAAACAATTTAATAATAGCGTTAATTTTATTTTACCAATCCGGAGGAGAATATTTCAAAAATTATAGACGGCATAAGTTATTCCAAGTTTATTAATTTTAGAATAGCTTGATATCCTGGCACACAGCTCACTTCGAGTCTTATCACACACTGCGATTAGAAAAAAACTCGAAAATTGAATTAATCGCTTGACAGCGCAGGGAAACGGAGGGCAGGAAAGCTTTTAGCCAAAGGCCAGGCAGCAGCGGTAGGCAGCATGTGGCAGATACGGTGCCCTCAGTGCCTGATAGTGTAGTCGCCACAGAGAAGCTCTTATAACAGGCACTACATTTTACACAGTAAATTACCAAACTCACAGCGGGTTAATTCAATACACTACAACACAGTTGTTTCGAGATCGATATCTTACCAACAGGGCGGTATTTGTGTGTGTCTATACAATTTACGTTTGAAGTCAACATTATCGCTACTGAGTAGAATATCAAAAGCCTCACGCAGACGTTGCTATGGAGAATATGGCATACGAGTATATCACGGGTTCAGAGAACACCATTAATGCAAGAGGCAAAAATTTTTCACTTAAAAATTGAACACATTGTAGTAAGGTTACATGAATACAGTCGGAAATTTCACGTAATTCCAGTCATTTTGAAATCAGTGTTTTCACGCCACACGCTTCAAATGCCAAAAAATGACGGGTGCTTGCAATCCAGCTAAGACACAAACATACGTCATAAATTAACATGGCTAAAAAAATGAAAACACTGGGATACGCAATTACCAAATCAATATTAGCAATATTCATGACACCAAATCTTGAAAAATGCCCAAGACGAACTGCTAGTACTCCTGCGAAAAACAGTCGTGTAACTTTGATGAATTTCCTGACTTGATCCCAAGAGAGTAGAAATAGTATGTACACATCGCGAGAATGAAAATGAATATACCCAGCAAGCAATTGATGGTATGGAAGTAGCCAGGTAAGAAAGAGTGTTGGCAACACGCGAATGCCCTCATAGATATGAAAGAGGGAGCCGAGGCACGCCATACCTATCAATATATCGGACGCGCCCTCAGACACGAAGGGCAGCTCCTCGTGCATACTACTAGTCAGCCATTAATTGCCGGGTTCTGGTCACGTCTGTATTGTTATTTCTAGTACAGAAGCTATCATTCATATATATGAGAAAATTAATCGGCGTGGAACAATAAAGTCTAAGAAAAAAAATCTTCAGTGATGCATGATGAGAAGCCGCAATGTTGTCAAAGATGAAGCCAGGCATCAGTATTAAGTTAATATCTGTTTCTCTTATTCTAGTCACAGGGAAGAATTTTGAAAACAAAGTGGCCCTAGAAACTGCGTAGCTCCAGAAACTGCTTGCTTTAAACTCAATTTTGATAGTGTGAAGATAAGTTAGGGAATTAATGCATCATTACATAATCGAGGAAGCCGAAGATGATCAAAATAACACGCTAGTATTCTTATCAAACAGAGCAAGAAGTTGCAAATCCCGTAGTATAGCTTCTTCTATCATTGCATAAAGGGGATGTGCGATAGAAGAAGGGATGTATGTATACGCGGAAGCGCCGCAGCGGAGCTTGATGTGCCATCAAATAATTGATGAGCATCAAAACTGGATCAGACGCAAGAATCGCAGAACGCCGTGTTCGCATTTACTAACGATATACATTGCGAATGCACTGTTATCAGCAGAGCAGAAGCCGACGATAAACGCCTGTTTATACACACGCACACACATGGTATACAGTATGTTTAAAAAACGCATACAGTAAATTAATGCAGCTAATGCTATTCATTTGTGAAAAATCCGACGAGAAATTAATACACTGAAGATTCGGAACAAACCGTGTAATATATTTGTGTACCTAAAAAAGTAGAAATTAATTAATAAAAATTAAAACGAGTAATTCTGCCTCCCGACGCTGAATTATTTTCGTGTATAACATTCCCAAGCGTCACGGAAAAATTTTAAGCTGCCTCAATTAATAATGTAAATTAAACTTCCCAGACACAGAATAGGAATAGAATTCTTGGTTCATGATAAGGAAAGATCCAGAATCTGAGAAGCATGCATTAAAATGTAAGCCAAGCATAAGGTTTAAATATTAATTTTCTACTATGTAGAGCTATTTGTTATTCCAATGGATAAAAGCTATCGGCGGGGAAAGACGAATTTACTCAACTCGTAAGGTCTCTTAAATATACGATGTTTTACAGAAAAAAGATGAGCTGAACAACGGGGAAAAGCGCGATAAAGTAAGTTGCATTCCACTATTTATGCAAACATTAGACGGACCACGCTAAGAATGTCTTTTAAATTAAGAAGTTGCTCCAAAATTTCAACTAACTAAGGATAAAACTAATTTCAGAATGTTTCAGAATCTACACCTTAACAGGATATCAGGAAACAAGTTTCTTCCACCTTGATAACTAGCATAAGATTCGCTTAGCCAAGACAATTTAGTGATAAAAAACGGATAGCTAGCGGCAAAATCAATCCAAGAAGAAGCAATAATAGCTATTGAAACTAAACATAATAGCTATAATTCATCGAAGTGTTTCCTCTGTAGGTAGTGTGAGACAAAGCGATCGTCGACGATTACTTCATACGAACACTGTAAGTCCAACTGCGTTTATTCGAGAAAGCGATTGAGTTTCTGATGTGCACGTTATAGTCGGTTTTGGAATTGAAATTTCTCTCGCTTTGCCAAGTTCTCGCTAAACCGGAACAACGATCATAAAGGTTACAAGACTTTTTCTATAGCAATATCAAAAGCGTGCCGAACTTCTTGCCACACTGCTTTCTATACTTCTTCACTGGACACAAGCATAACTATATTCCAGTACAGAACTCTAGGAAATGCAGGTTTGTTCCTTAATTAACCCTTCATGACTGACGGGGTTTCTCGGTTTCAAACTACTAGGTACGAATAGTATTGACGACGGTATATAATGTATCCTAGTCAAAAGGATTAAGTTTAACACACAAACCATATTACACGTCACAGACACATTGAAGTGGTCGTTGTATAACAAGCAATCCTTACTTTCTAGCATTCCACAGGGCGCAGCATAACGCACGGTGTGCGAAGGAAAGTCGCGCTCGAGGTCGACATTGTAAGGCGTGTGATGAAATAACGGCAAGACAGTGAGTGTAACCTCTCATTCCTTCGAAGTTACCAAATGTGCCGAAACTTAGGGGCTTGCCAAGAGTCAACACCGAAAAGCCTCGTCCACCGTCAGGCAAGTACACTCGCTTTACAATGCGGTACGCGTACGAAAACAGTCGAAATGCAAACATGCGAGGAACAGACGAGCAATTTGACGAGCATTCCATCCAAGCAAAAAAAGGATTATTAGAGCTATCGACCAAGATAATCGAGAACTAAAACATTTCAACTGTACTCGTTTCTCAAACTGACGTCACGTGATCACATATGTAAGTATTACAACAACCGTTCTTTCCGATTAAATATTTTGTTACAGCAAGACAAAAGATATTAACATCTAACAAGTCTGTAGAAGACTTTATGGTCAAGGTTCCGAGTAATGCAGTAGCTAATACAAAGAGTCTATAGAAATGAAAGAGAGTCTATGGGAATGATTCGTGCGCGAGGAGAAGCGTCAAGACAAAGGTAGAAAAGCTGCAACCGTTTGCCGCAGCGGTGACTTGAACTCTAGAAAGGAAGGCCTCGCGGGTCACGCAGCGAGACCTGCAACACTACGCTCTTGTGCCGTCACCTGCAGCGTCATTGTTTTCATCAATGAGGGTACAGTTATCAACACTTCTACTGGAAAAATGTGGAATTTAATTCAAATGCACCGTTTCGAGGCGCATTGACTGTATTGCGATAGTTTTAAATAGTAATGCACGAACATATAATTGCGATTTTAGACAATATTGTGAAGCAATACAATAGATAGCAAATTAAACAGACTTAACAAACTTAAAGGAGCAATTTAGATACGATTCTGAAAGTAATCAAGCCAGACACGTACTTGGATCATAGATAAAAATATGCTACGGCTATAGAGAAATGCCCCACCAGACACGATATCAAGCCACAGCGCATGATAGAACAAGGAAGGTCTAAGTGGAGTGAAAGGCAGGCGGGAAGTGCGCGCATTACATAAGTTGTGTTAAAAGAACTAATCCATAAAGTAAAACCTCGTCGCTATGGATGCCAGAAAAATTTCACCACGTGGGCTTTAATGATGCGAGTAAAAAAGAAAGCCAGAAGCTGAATAGCAACCAGGCAATGAACAGTTTTTGCGTCCACAAGATTTTTACGAAGTGAAAACATAAAAAAATGAAGACAATGGAAACAAAATTCTACGAAGTAAACGCTAAAAACGACAATCTCGCATCTCTTCTTATTTAGGTTACCAGGCCTGATATATGGAAGAAAAGCGCCAAGTTTTTCTATTTATTGCACCCTATATTTAACGAGTGATATCAATAAAACCATATGCGAGCTACCAGCTACCAGCAGCTTTGAATAATTCCAGGCATGATACGGGTATGAAGCAACGATGAGAAGAGCGAGACAAATATCAGCCGAACTTATGAGAGTCAATATAACGCTGTGGAAAGTAAATGGCGTAACTGCCAAGTCATTTTTTATGATCAGATTAAAATATATTCTTTTCTTAGCAGCATTCAAATATGAAAACTTTCTGAACGTTTAAAACTTAATAAATGATTTACAGGTTAAATATGATATCCGGAATGCAGATTGAGAAGAGAGTGCATGGTTGCACTCAGGTTGAGGCGAGCACGTTCCAGCGGAGAGTTTGAGGCAGTTACGCGGCACCGCTGAGGAGAACAGGTAGAAGACCTGCACTGCCTTGCCAAGCTGTGGCTCCGACCAGCCAGCCAACCCAG